TTTATTTTATTTTATTTTATTTTATTTTATTTTATTTTATTTTATTTTATTTTATTTTATTGACACAGGGTTTTTCTGTGTAGCCCAGGCTGTACTGGAACTCACAGAGATCCTTCTCCTGCCTATGCTTCCAGAGTGCTGCAATTAAGAATATGTGCCACTACAAAGACCATGATACATAGTTATAATTCTTAAAAACCATATTAATTCAATTGAGGACAGTAGACTTGGTTGTTTTGACTTAAAAATCAAGCCCCCAACTCAATATTATTTTCCAAAGTGAGGAAAAGATATGTTGCCTCTAGCACAGAAATCACTGTTTTAAGTTTTGTTTTATGTTATGCAAATGGGTCTTTTGTCCACCTTTGTGTCTGTGTATCACCCTATGCCTGGTACCCACCAAGGCCAGAAGGGGGCACTGTGTGCTCTAGAACTAAAATTACAGATGGCTGTGTGCTGGGAAGCAAACGGTGGTCCTGTGGAAGAGCAGAGATTTCTCTTAAGCACAGAGCCATTTCCCCACCCTGTGTTGAGTTTTCATCTGCCTCATTTTAAACTCGCCTTGGGGTAAGTCACAGAAAGTCCATTTACAGTAACTTTGTTTTGGTCTTTCCATATGTTTGTACTGTCCTTTTCCAACTTGAAAGTGAGTTTTATTGATGAGACTACACTAGACAAAATGCCTTTTCCACAGATTCTGGCAGACGTGGCTGATGCCTGGAAAGTGACCCATGGCCGCAGGCAGGGTTCATTTTCACCTTTAAAAGATTTCAATCTTTAGTTTAGATTTAATACCTATTGTAAATGTACTGAAGTTAGAGTCCAAAAGCTACTCAGCTTCAAGGGCTGACACTATTTCACAGAGAATTTACAGCTTAACTGAGGTTGCAGAATCATGAGAAATAGAGAAAAACTTCAAAGCCAGATACACCGATTTGCTTAACTGTTTTGACTGTGTCACATTTTATATCCAGTCTTTGAGATAAAATAGCCTAGAAGTGTTTGCAGTGTTGACACAGGTTATCTTGTCATTTTCTGTCCAGGCAGGGATAACAGTTAGTAAAATAACTAGGAGTGGTTTAAATCTGAAACCAAAGTTAAAGAGAAAAAATCAGAGGAGTAACACATAGGTAATATAGTGTATAGGTAATCTCTAATATGCCATTGACGTATATTTACATTGTGATATTTTATGAATTTGTATCACATATTATTGACCCAAATAAACAATGTTCGAGTACTAGTTAGAAATTCCATTGTACACTATTTCTACAATCAAGGAGTAAGGAAGCTAAATAAAAAGCAAAGGTAAATCATATATACTGTGTGTTTCTCTGTGTCTTTTCCTTTTACATTATAACTAATGAACAAAAGGATAGAAAAAAATTTAAATGTAGGTGAAGTGTACAGATATTAGGCGATGAGTTTCACACTGGCATTCAAACTCACACTGTATTTTAAAATATGAAAATATATATATAAATTTTTCTTGAAGAGATCTTTTTCTATCTCTGTGAAAGGGATATCTCTCATCTTAAAATATAAAACTAAAATTTAGTATGACGTTAAAATTTTTCTCCCAAATGTCTGAGTGAAATAATCCAGATAAAGATATCAAGAGAAATCTTTCACCTACTTTAAAAATATGTACCCCAATCTCTTGTTAAAAGATTATTCTATAATTATAAAATATTTAGCAATTATATATGTGTGTGTGTGTGTGTGTGTGTGTGTGTGTGTGTGTGTGTGTGTAAACATATGGGATAGTTTACAGGTTGCTGTGTAACCACACACACACAGCCCTGGCAATACAATACTATATATAATCTATCATCTATGCATCTTTCTTTCTTTCATCTATTTTTCTATTATCTATCATTTACTTTTTTATCATCTATCTACCTATATGTCTATGAATCTAAAAGTATATATCTCTAAAGAATAAATGTTGGCAAATGAAACTATGAATGGAACAGGTTTTTCCAGCTTCAAACTCCTAGGGAAGCTAGCTAGTCGTTGGGGTGTGTGTCTCACCACCCTGTGTGTCACCACCTCAGGTTTTTGTTTGAGGCATTTCCATCTGCCACTTCTTTCCTTGTGTGTCACCCACATTCAATTTAAGAAGGCAAGTTACTTTTCCTTCCAATTCAGTCTGTGCTGCTTGGAATGATGTATTGGAATTCCAAGACCTTTTATTTTGTTTTTCTTTCTAAATGCTTCTATGGTCAGCTGACAGTGTCTACATTTCAACAGTGCTTTTGGGTTTTGCCTTTGGAAGAAATTAGGTGGAATCTGGACTGCCAGCCTCAGCCTCATGTCTACTGTAATTTGTGTGTGCTGTTTCTGTCCCCCAGGGATGTCTGCAGGGTAAGGGAAGATCCATCTGGATCCCAAGGTATACTCCCTGCTCTCTCCCCCAATACAGTGGGTTTTATATCAGCACCATATGGAAAACTATCTAACTGTTTGGCATTAATTGTTCTAAGTATGCATATTTGCGATTGAAATGGTGAGGAATGCTAACATCATAAACACTCTGTCAGTCGCTTGAAAATTATTTTCCACTTTCTATTCCAATTTACTTTTCTTTCATTCCAAAACACAAGTTAAATCATGAAGCCTGACTGTGGGATACCAATAAAATGGCCTTGCAGGAGATCTGAGGAAATGGCTGTTTTCATACTGACAAACCTTTTGCTTCATGAGCATTTTGATGAGACCCTTGAAAACTGTGATGTTGGCCTGAAGCCAGCAATGTCTACAGGTTCCACCTGTTCTCTAGTCAAATCCTCACGGACAGTCTATGCAAAACCTTTCCTGATTTTGAACAAATACCTTAATTTCTGAGTTTCAGAAATATTGGTAAAATTGATTTTTCATAATTATGTTTTATTATAATTATTATTGGTGTGTGTGTGTGTGTGTGTGTGTGTGTGTTAGAAAAATGTGTGCCACACATGTATGTGGAGAGCAGAGAGTAACCCTGGGAAGTATACTGTTCTCTCTCTCTCTACTACAGTTCCAGAGATTGAAGCAATTGTATCCAGTGAGCCATCTAAATGGTCCCATACTTAAATTTTTACATCCCATCCCTAACATTATTTCAGTGGTGTGCTTAGTTGGATAAAGAAAACCAAATTCGAGTGTTGAGGTTTCTTCTGGGACTGGCACCATAGGCATTTCACTGATTACTAGTAACTTAGTTTCTCTGAAGAGCCAGTAGACCTGCAGATCTCAGGCCCATGGGAAAGGCAAGCAAAACAGCCTCATTCTCATTAGAGAGAGACACACCCCTGCAGATGGAATCCAGCTTCTGATGCAGGGCAAAGAAGCCTTAAATCATTGAATTAAGCACAGTTCCTTGCTGACCTATTTCTGGGTGACTTTGGGGAGTCAACTGGAAGAAATCGGTAAATGGCATGCGAGGTTCTAATAACATCCATTCCCAAGAGAACACAGTGGTAGTGTTTTTATTAGCTACCAGGAATTATCTATAGATGCATAATATACATTTAGGCCCTGAAATCATCTAGTATAGAAATAGTTGGATTAACGTAAAAGAGGAACAAAGAAAAATACTTTGACAGTTCTTAGACATTTGAGGAAGAATAAAATGTGCTTAGACAGTATTTTAATTAACTTCTAGGCTGAAAGAAGGTGCTCATAAAGTTATTATGTTGAAGTATTTTTCTAACAATAATTAAAGTGATATACTCAGTAGCATTTCCACAATTAACCTTTAAAAAATCAACATTAAATATTTCATTTTACTTAACTTCCTTATGCAAAATGATTAATATTCACTCATGCATTGAATGTCTGATCCTCCTGTCTCCTCTGTTGCATGCTGGGATTGTAAGAGGAGCCACTATGAGGTTCCAACAATTCAACCCAAGGCTCCATGCGTACTAGGCCAGCACTCTGACAGCTGAGCCACATGCCACAGTCAGTCTCTAAATCAATATAGCAATGGATACATTCTACTCACCGAAAGGACAGTGGCAGTAATATGATTCCACTCCACTCTGACAGGAACCACCATTGAAGCAGGGATTGCATTCACAGTAATTGACTGAAGATTCACACATTTTTCCTAAAATGTATCAAACTTGTTAAGAAATCTTAAAAGTACATATACCAACCACAACTACTGCAAGTACATAAAAGAACAACATCCTTCAAAACCAAGTCACAGAGCAGATACACAGAAGCCCACCTACTCAAGGATAGACAAGGAAGAAAGACAGGTTCTGTCTCTTGCCCAGATGTGCTGTCATAAAGATATTTGCAATCCTTTACGTAACTATCTTTGAGAGAGACCCATTTTCAAGGGAGTTTTGTGGTGAGAACATTTTAATTATTTCCTGATGTTGTTTTTGTTGAGATTTGTACCTTCACATTGACATGGTAGGGATGGAGTTCAAACTTTTACAACATTCTTTCATTATAAGAGTTTCATTGACTCAAACATTTGAAAGGGAGAATTAATGTGACTGGCCTTGTCAAGCTACTCCTTTATGTCTCAAACAAAACAAACAAAACAAAATCTCTGAATTTGAATTTATCCCATGCCTCATGTAAAGCAGAATAGGGACTAAGAAAACGTGTCAACCACATTTTCAAATTCGTTCATTTTTTCATTTGTTCCTAGCACACTCCATACATGCTTTGTCTCTTTCTGAAATAATAATGTGCTGTATAGCTTCAGCATATAAATGTCGTTTGAGTATGTCTTGTTAAATCAGATGCATTAATATTGGGCCAGGCAGCAAGTGGATGGAGAATAGCAGATAAGAAAGCAGACAACGGCCTGAAGGGAGTGTCTCCTTGGTCAGAGTTGAGATAACTCTACATGAAGGAAAGGTACATGTGCCACGAGAGGCCTCCTTAGAGGCTTGAGGTGAACACTGTCAATTTTGGGGCTTGTGTATGAAGGGGTTTCTAGATCCTGTTCACTATGGTGGAAATATTGATCCTAAAATGGGCTGGAGCCAGGGACTATGTCAAAAGGGAAACTGCCCTATGCACCAGAAATCACCTCTCTGCTTCCTAGCTGTGGATGTGATGTGATCTGCAGCCCCTGCACCTGCTACCATGACTCCCACAAACTATGAGCTAAAATAGCCCTCCCCTCTTTAAGTTGATAGTTTGACACAGGAACAAGAAAAGAAACTAATAGAGAAGTGAATTTCCTGCCTGAGAGGTGATTGGCTGTCCTCTGCTTCTGTGTTCATTTCATATTGGGCTATGTGAGCATTTGATATCCTAATAGCCAAAATGCAGTGTCTAAACTATGTCTTGTTTCATTGTTTAGTTTTACGTAAATTTGAAAAGTTGTTCTATAAAGTACTATTTTATTAGATTTATTAGAAAACTCTTAATTTTTCAATTCTAAAAAATAGGAAGAGTGTGATTTTTAGTTAATATCCATACATTAAAATTAGGGTTTTAATTAGTAGTCTTCAAAAATCTGTTCTTCTGTGTACATGTGTGTGTGAGAGAGAATGTGTGTATATGCATGTATATGTTTATACATAAGCATATGTAGATCACAGAGTAGACTGAGAGTCTTCCTTAATGGCTGTCTATCATAGATTTTGGTAGACTGTCACCGAGCATGGAGGTAATTGACTGAGCGAACTGGCTGGTTAATCAGCTCTGAGGATTTGCCTGCCTCATCTTACTCAACACTGAGATTACAGACACACCATCATGCCAAGGTTTTTAAGCACAACTTACAGATCTGAACTTGGGACCCTAGCAATTGACAGCCAGCACTTTGCCATCTGAGACACTCCCTCAACCTTCAGTTGCTTTTTCATTACTAGGGATTGAACTAGAGCCTGCTGCACACTCAGTCAGCACTCTGTAGAGCTGTTTCTGCTCCACTAATGAGCACTTTGTGTATCTTGCAATGCATGGATGTGTTGTCCCCACACTGAGACAAAGCTGACCACAGACGAAGCTTACATCACAGCAACTTCATTTGGCATACATCTTAAGTTTTTGTTTAACTCATTTTGTTCTTGTGACTTCATTCTGAAACCACAGTGGTTTGAGTCTGACATTATAAATCGGAGTCAGGCTCCATGACACCACAGACCCATTTCTGAGCATCACAGAATCACACACACAATAGTTTTCCTTTATAGACAGCATCAGTTGCCTCCTGACAAGGCAGAACACAGAGCACATTTTCAGAACACCCCTGAGTTCTCAGGGGAGATCATGAAAATAAACAAGTCACAGATTTAGAGGCACCAAAAATAAGTTCACAGTGTGGTAGGAGAGAGACACAGGGTATACTGTGTTATTGTAGGTTTGTGCTGAAATTCACATCATTGATGCTGGCTAGAAACACATCCCCCTCCACCCGCCAAATAAGGATACCTCTTCTTAGGAGTGTGGTTTTCGTTTCCCTTATTAAAATGCCATCGCTGTCCAATACAGATTTAAATAAGACCTACTGACTTAACTTTTTCCTACAAGAAAGTCATACACCTCCTTTCATTGTTTTTTTCTGCTGTAAAAGAATAGGCAATTTTCCAATATACTAAGAGTGTAAGTAATGTTTGATTTCATTATTCCCTTTCTCATTTGAAAATTTCTTTTAGAATAAAGCTAAAAGTGACATATTTATATATGTAGGCCCATATGTCTTACAGTCTGTGGGGGTGAGATGTAGATTTAGGTAATAACATATTAGTTATTAGAGCTATAAGCTGCCAACCACGCTTTCTAAAAGACAAGAGACAGGGAAGCAAAGACAGAAAACCTAGGCTGGAGTAGCAAGAACAACCCACATGGCTTATCTTTGAAATTTCTACTCCAGAGACTGGAAAGGTCCCTCAATGGTTAAGAAAATTTCCTGCTCTTTCAAAAGACTGGTGTTGGGTGCCCATCACCTACATCAAGTAGCTCAAAATCATCTGTAACTTCAGCTCCAGGGAGCCTAGTGCCCTCTTCTGGCCTATACAGGCACTGTACCCAGGTGCACATACCACCACACATATATACATACATACACACATACATACATACACATCATGAAAAGTGAGTCATTAAAAAAAATCAACTCTAGCATGAGCTGAATCCTACGGAAAATATCTTTAAAATTTTCCCACTTAAATAATAAATTAAATTCAGGTGTACTTTTTGTGTACTTTTATGATGTACTGCTTGTCATTTATACACAGTACTTTCATGTAAACACCTAAGGTTAATTTAAATATTCACTAAAGGCAATTTCAGGTAGCTCAAAGAAGAGTGAAAAAACACGCTAAAATAAATATAAGCCTTACTCATGCATTTAAAAATATACAGCAACTACAGGTGTGGCTAAAGCTGTTAGAAAATAAGACATATTCTGAAAATGATCATCTTTACAACAAACATTTTCAAAAAAATAACAAACTATCTTTTGTTAATAATTTTAATTTAAAGAAAATTTAAAGTAAATTTAATTTACTCTCAGAAATTTTTTAGGTGATAATAGTCAAAAACATAAAAATAATCTTAATGAAGGCATTAAATAAAAAGTTAGAAAGTTTTAAAAACAATACTCTTATTTCTTGTCAGAGTACATGAATTAATCATTTGAAAACTTTGAGTTCTTCTTTAATGAATACAAATTGTTTATACTTATATTCAAAAGAAAAGTTTGAAAACATAAGGATTTAATTCAAATTTCAGAATATAAAATGGCCACCGAATATGTACTTCTCAGGTGTACAGTACTGAGACTGTAAGACCCAGATGGAAAGTAACAGTCACTTCTTAACTGTTCTGTGTGAAGCTTCCTGCACATATAAATGTAAATTAACTTCTGTTAATGGCATACAATCAGGCAGAGATGGGAGCAGTTTCAGACGTCCTAGCGTCTCCTGGTATGATACCATGTGTACTGCAGTGGTGTGGAATGGATTCTTGGATCATTAACTCAAGTCAATCAGCAGTGTCCACCAGAGTCTCTAGGCTTGCAAGCTCTCTGTTCAGATGTAAAAAGCAGAGCTGAGTGTCCTCCTCGATGCAGAGCACCTTCTCTGTGCAAATATGCTTACTGTCATAGCAGGTGTTTGAAGAGTGAATTGTTCTCACTGCTTTGACATCTGGCCATGAACTGTGCTGATAATCACTATTTGTCACAGACAGATGGAGAGTTGCTTTGGGTTGTGTTGATTCTGATCACGTGAAAAATGAAAACCAGTGAAGGTGAAAACGAATATCTAATCATTAAATAGGGCATCCACACAATTCCCAAGAATAGAGTTCAAGTGTACAGGAAGTGCTCGGCCTAAGATGTATGGTCTGCAGAAGAAGATGGGAGGGGGCTTGAACAGAGACTGAGTAAAGGAGGGTGTATTGAATACAGACTGAAGGTGAAAGTGTTTGTTGAAGACAGACTGGCCCTGTTGGAAGTGCCTTCAGTACCTTTATTAAGGAAAAATATTCAAGGCTTATTTGTTAAAACCACATCTTTTTTGATCATTAGAGTAAAGCTAAGCAGAGCCATGCTGTGTAGATAAGGATTGTTTTATATGCTTAGTTGATGAGACATTCTGTTTTCTCAAGCACACCACCTATGGTCTGCCACCACAAATGCTGTCGTATCTCTTATGTATACACAGAGCAGAAGGTGGATATAGGAAGGTACATGCTTCCAATTCATTTTCTACACAAATCACCTTATTAACATATTTTTCAATATAATTTATTTATTTTTTCAAATTGTAATTATTAATATATTTTATTGCTAATATTTGTGTATGCGTTATTCACTCTGGGGATGAATATTTGGATTGTTTTAGTATTTTATTATTTTATGTGTACAAGTGTTTTTCCTGCAGGTCATTTCTGTACACTAAGCACATGTGTTTGGCAAGTTCCTTAGGAAAAATTGCTATGTACAGCCTATATGTATACAAAATTTTTTTCTGCCTGGAAAAATTATACTATAAATTGTCACAAAAGTGATGAATGGACAAATTTTATCTTTCCCTAAAATAACAAGACATGCTTCAAAGCAGAAGGAAATGTCACATGGTAATAAATCCAAGGCATCCTTCCCAAGGCCACACCTGACATGTATCCAGATGTGTGGCAATACACGGAAAGGTTAAAGAAGCCATGTACTGACTGTATTAAAAGCCTATGCACTGACTGTATTAAAAGCCTATGCACTGACTGTATTAAAAGCTTATGCACTGACTGTATTATAAGCCCATGCACTGACTGTATTAAAAGCCTATGCACTGACTGTATTATAAGCCCATGCACTGACTGTATTATAAACCTATGCACTGACTGTATTATAAGCCCATGCATGGACTGTATTATAAGCCTATGCACTGACAGTATTATAAGCATTCCAGACCTAGGAACAAGACCTAAATTTGGGTTGAGCTTAAAGACACCCTTCACTCCCAGAAGGGACTCAAAACTGTGCTGCAAACTGTAAACCTACAGGTGTGAAGACGAGAGCTGAGTGGCTGCCTCTGTGCTTTCTAATCTGTGTCCCACTATATACACAAGTGGGTAGAAAAAGAAATACTGGGTTATTGAAGAAATATGATTATCAGGCTGATGTTTTCTGGCAGGACTCCCCAGAAGTCTGAGGCATGAATAACACAAAAATTTATTGTGACTTGCTGATGAATATGGGCAATAGATGTGATCATGGTGTTTACTGAATTCTATAAAACCTACAAAATCTTTTCAGGTATTCTACAGTGTAATAAACTCATTAGTCTTTTCTAGTATTCTACAGCTACTCAGAAATCCACTTTCTAATATGCAATTTTAATTCTAGAAAAAAGCACTCAAACAATAAAACTATTAGTTTTAATCATAAATGTCAACTTGCTGGGATTTAGAGCCAGCTAGGAGATACGACTTTGGCTATATATGTGAGCATGTTTCAGGAGTTTAAGTGAAGCTCATGAGTGTAGGTGGCTCAGCCCATGGCCTAGAGTTCTGACAGCAATGGGATAACAGCATTCATTTCTGTGTCCTGACTGAGGCTGCAGTGTGCCCAGCCACCTTCCATTCCTCCCCCTGTGCTTGTTTAGTGAGAAATGTTCTCGGCATCCTGAGCTACCAGGAAAATGTAAGTTAAGACAGCATTGTGATTTCTTCTCGTCAAAATCAGAAGGGTCGCCATGAAGCAAAGAGATGATGAAAAACACAATGAGGATGAAGAGAAGGGTAACTTCCGTGCACTGCTGGGAAAATTGGGAACTCATCCAGCTCACTGGCAACTGACCCAGCTCTACCAGGCTCAGGCATACATCACAGGGATCCATATCCAACCACAGAGGTATGTGAGCATTACAGTGCATTAGTTATGAAAGCCAGTGACTCAGGGAACCAACCTAGATGTGGATCAGTAGACGAGCGCATAAAGAGACTGGAGTTACACCGTGTGTGCTGAGAGCTGGACCTAGGTTCTTTGCAAAGGCAGCCAGTGCTCTTTACCACGGAACCATCTCCTCACCCCGTTCCTAGATTTTACATAGATACATAGAATCATATATGTATGTAAGCAAAAATTACAGACATGCATTTGTAACAGCAGGGGAGGGGGAGGAAGAGAAGAGGACAGTGAATGATTAATATATACAATCTGTGTACAAAAATATTCTTAGTGACCATCTCTGTACAATGAGCATGAGCCAATAGAAGAAAACCATGAGATCTACAAGAATTAATGGAAACTCAGTAGGAAAAACTGTTTTGAGATATGCATGAGCAATTCACATGTGATAAAAATAAAAGAACTAATGTATGTTTTGATTTATTTCCCCATGTTCTTCTGTGTGTATTTCACACAACATAATGTTATTTCACATAACATAATGCCTTTGAGTACTCCATGAATACCCACAACTGTTAGGTGCTACTTATCCAGTGATGTATACTATGCACAAAGATAAAGAATAGAAAAGAATAGAAATATAAACTAAAAAGAAGTCATAAGTAGCTATTGAAAGCATTGTTATGCATTCTTCCTTAGAGGTGTGTACATATGTAACCCTGAGATTTGCTGTACGACCCATTAGCTCTGACTTAACATTTTAAAAGTAAACAGAGGCAGAGAGATGACTCAGTGGTCAAGAGTAGTTGTTGCTTTTGTAGAGGATTCAGGTTTTGTTTCCAGCACCCACATGGTGGCCCACAACCATCTATAATTCCAGTCCCAGCGTACCTGATGCTCTCATCTGACTTCTATGGATACCAGGCATACCAATGGTGCACATGCATACAAGCAGGCAAAGCATTCACATACATAAAATGAAATCAATTAGTCCAATCTAAACATGATAGAGATTCTGTACCCATGAAATTTCAACATTGTTGCCAAAATGAAACCTGTAAAATAATCACACCAGTTGTCATGCCAATATATGGATGCTGAAAATTTCAGAGGGCTCCACTGCTACACATGTATATGTAAGCCACACTAAATGGACTATGTATGTATACATAGCAATAATAGCTACAGAAGAGATAATAACCTTGAGAGGGTATATGGGAAGAGTTGAAAGAGGGAGAGACAGTGTTGGGAATGATGTAACTATAATAATATTCATGTATGAAATTCTCAAAAACCATATATATATATACATATATATATATTCACATGACAGCATGCATATCAAAGCTAAAGTCTTTTAAAGAAAATTATTGACAAGCACAGAAAGTAACACACTGACATACCTGTGTATCCAGTTTTGCACACGCAGTTGAATCCCCCTGGGAAATTCTGACAGACAGCCCCATGCTTGCAAGGGCTGGGCAGACATTCATTGATGTCTCTCTCACAGGCTCTTCCAGTGAAGCCCTCCGGGCAGCTGCATGAAAATCCTCCAACTAAGTTGTGACAGGTCCCCCCATTGTGGCAAGGGGCTGGAAGGCATTCATCAATATCCACTTCACACCAGCTTCCAGCGTAGCCTGGCACACACTTACACTGGAAAGGCTGCAGAGGCTCATTGGCCACAATGATGACAGGCAGACTCTCCTGGATCTTCAGCGCAGAGCCCACAGCAAGTCTCCGAAGGCAGCTGCCTCCGTTCTGACACGGCCCATGAATGCATGGGTCATGATCCACAGATTCGACCTTGACACCACTCTGACGGAGAAGGATCTCTTTGATGCTTTCGAAGAAGGTAGCTACACCGCTGGGGTTCACATACTGGTTATTGTTTCGTTTCACAGCTGCTAAAAGAAATGTTCTGTTGTTCTCTTCGTAGGCAGCATAGAGCTGCACCGCGGTACCCAGGCCGGTAAGCTGGGAACTAGCAATGCGCAGAAAGTGAAGGTAGTGATTAGTCAGGAAGTCCTTGACTGTGGGGACACCAACCCGAAGCAATATACTGTTATCTATCGTAGCATTCGAGAATCCTGCAAAGAAAACTCGGATATTGTTGGTGACTGTGCTGTGAACCCCATCGCTGCTGACAACAGTCAGATCGAAGGTACCATCTGTGGATCTGGGCTGGGAACTCAGGTCACAGCCGCCTGCTGGAATACTGAAGAGGCTGGTGACTCCCGAAGTGAGGGAACAGTGGAAACTGTCTAACACATCCGGATCCTGGGGCTTCACAGAGCCAAGAGTCCCCCCAGGAAATAAGTTGCCATAATAATTAACAAATATCTCCACAGTGCGGGATTGTGAGGGGTTGTCATTTTGATCTAGAACAGTGATGTGCACAGTTCCTGTGGATGACATCTGAGGAGCCCCAGAATCTCTGGTGACCACAGACAGATAGAAGTCTGAAATCTGCTCTCTGTCAATCTCCCGGGTTGTGCTTAGAACTCCAGCGGTGTTGAGACTGAAATAATTAGTAGCCGGGCCTGTGCTCAGCAGGTAATAATTGAAGGGGCCTTGATTTGGAGGAAGGTCAGGATCTGTGGACTGTAGGGTCATCACTAGAGTTCCTGGGCGTTTGTTTTCTAGAACCTCTCCTTCACTGACAGTCAACACTGGGCCATTGTCATTGATGTCTTCTAGGGTAACTAACAAGGAAGCACTTCCTGTGGCAGAGGGAGTTCCTGAGTCTACAGCCAAGACAGTGAGATTATAAACAGGCAGGCTTTCCCGGTCCAGCCCTGAGGTAACTGTGATCTGCCCTGTCTGGGGGTTAATAGAAAAGGCACCATTTTCATTCCCGGACCCAATGAAGTATGAGAACCTGCTCCAGCTAGGAATGGAATCTGAGTCAAAGGCACTCACAAAGGTCACATGGGTCCCAATAGGGACCCCTTCACTGATCTGCACTCTGTAGGTGTTCAGACTAAACACTGGTGGGTCATTAGCATCAAGCACAGTGATGTTCACAGTGACTTCATCGATGTCTGCACCCCGAATGTTGCCGAAGTTCTTGGCCAACACTTTCAAGGACACCCTTTCCTCTTTCTCTCTATCAAGAAGCCCAGACACATAGATCTGCCCTGTCATCTTGTGGATCTGGAAGCCCTTCTTCCTACTGTTTCCAAAGATCAAATAGTGTACTTCTCCATCAGCACCCATGTCCCTGTCACTGGCAAACACTTCTCCAACAGCAGTCCCCCTAGGAGCTGCTTCTGACACTTCAAAATAGTAGAGCTTAGAAACAAAGCGAGGCACATATTCATTGGTCCCCTTCAACTGGATGTCGACAGTGGCAAAGCTGCACTTTTCCTCATCGGGGACGTTGAAGGCTTTCACTGTGAGGTGGTAGCTCTGCTTAGTTTCAAAATCCAAGAAGCCTTGAGTGGTGATGACCCCTGTGTTGGGGTCAATGACAAACAGGTCACTGTCTGATGACTGCACAGTATATGCAATCACAGCATTGGCTCCCGAGTCAGCGTCTGTTGCATTTAGGTGGATAACAGTGGTCCCACTCGGGGCATTCTCCATAACAGTTGGGAAAAATTCATCAGGAACAAACACTGGGGAATTGTCGTTCACATCTATCACACTCACAGTCAGACTGCAATAGCCAGTCCTCGCAACCCATCCTCCATCTGTGGCGCTAATGGTCATCTCATGCTTGGAGCTCAATTCGTAATCGAGGGCTTTGGCGAGGGTTACCACACCTGTTGAGGAATTGATAGCAAAGATGCCCTCTTCATTCCCTGAAGAAATGTTGTAACTAATCAAACCATTCATGGCTGTGTCACGATCTCGGGCAGATACAGTTCTGACAACAGAACCAATGCTGTGGCTCTCAGGGATGGTGGCACTTATGTGGTTCTGGGAAAATTCAGGGGTGTGGTAGTTTTCTTCAGTGACTGTGATGTGAACGTCAGCTTGGGAAGAAAGTGGGGGGTTCCCTTTGTCCTTTGCTGTGACCCTGATCAGGAAGTTTTGATTTAGGTCAGAAACCAAGGGAGAGGCTATTGAAATCCACCCAGTATCATTGTCTAGCTTAAACTTCCCTAGATGGTTCCCATCAGACACAAAATACTCCACTTCAGAGTTTAATCCAAAGTCTTTGTCATCCACTGCAGTCACTTTGATTAACTTAGTACCTACTTTAACGTTTTTGGTAACTGGGGTAAAGTATTTACTTTTGAGAAACTGAGGTGGGTTGTCATTGCTGTCCACTGTATTGATGGTAACTGTGGTCTCGCTGAGTAAGGAAGGGTTGCCTCGATCAGAAGCTGTCACAATGAAACTGTGCCTGTTGATGTTCACATTACTGAAACCACTGACATTTTGGTATTTTAACACCTGCTTGTTGAAAATCTCTCCAGTGGTGGCATTGATTCTGAAATACTCTGACTGAGACTTGATAAAATAAAACACTTGTCCATTTGATCCCTCATCGGGATCTGTGGCAGATACTTGAGTCACTCTGGAGCCAAGCTCAGTAAGTTCAGGGCAATCTAAATAATAAGAGGGTCTGCTAAATCTTGGAGTGTTGTCATTGATGTCAGTCACAAATATGGTGACATCAGTACTCACAGTCCAGCCAGAATCATGTGCAGATACTCTGATCCTGTATCGGTCTGTATCTTCTCTGTTTAAAGGTCTACTGATGACGATATCGCCTGTGTTGGGGTTGATTGTAAATGGAAGACTTGTGTCCACTATGGAATATCTGCTAATTGCATTTATCCCAATGTCTTCATCAGAAGTTGTTACACGGGTAACTGTGTATCCCAAGGGGGAATTTTCAGAAACATAGGCACTGAATATCTGAGAAAACCTAGGTGCATTATCATTTTCATCTAAAATACTGATGATCACTTTTACTGAGGTGCTCTGAGAAGGAGACCCTTTGTCTGAAGATTTCACAGTGAGCTCATAATGAGATATTCTTTCTCTGTCTAGTGGGCGAATGCTTCTGATTTCACCTGTAGCGTGATTGATCGCAAAACTGCTCTCCTGGTTGCCATTCACAATCTCATAGTCTAGTTGTCCATTGGGACCACTGTCCTTGTCTGTTGCTGAAACAGTAAGAATTTTCCGAGGGGATAGGTTTTCCAAGATCTCAGACACAAACGGATCTTCCTCAAAAGCTGGAGCGTTGTCATTGATATCTAGCACCGTGATGTCAAGCTTCTCATAAGAAGAGAAGGGAGGGAAGCCCCCATCTCTGGCTTCAATCCAAACAATGTATTTTTGTATCTTCTCAAAGTCCAAAGGCTGGCTGATGGATACCTGTCCTGTTAGTGGATCAATTTGAAAAGTGTTGCCCAGGTTCCCACTTGCAATATAGTAGGACAAAGTTTCTCCTCTCAAAGAGGACCCTGTGATGGTGGTGACCAGAGTGCCCACTGGCTGATTTTCTGGAAACATGAATGTTTGTTCTTTGGCTCTGACTTTGGGGAAATCTGCCTTGTTGGCAAACCTAACAGTCACTGTAGTCGAATCTGTCTTTGGAAATGAGCCACCATCTTTCACATGGACAGAGAACGTCACCTCAGAAGCTCCACTTAGTGGCCCAGCTGCCATGATTGCCCCCCTAAGGGGGTCAATGTGAAATTTTTCAGAGTTTCTACCTGAGAGTGAGTAATGGAGTTCAGAATTGGATCCAATATCAGCATCAGTGACTGTGACGGCAAAAACAAAGGAACCTGAAACAGAGGATGTTCTTGGTTAAAATCACAGGAATCCCTTGGGTGAATCCTTGATAAGTCTGAGACCATGCCACCGCCAGGTTCATCCTCCCAACACTACTGGAAAAAATAGCATCAAGTTTATTGTCTCTGACGTCTCCAGGTCAAGTCTGATTAATGACTTTGGAAACTAGCCTTCAGTTTCTCTCCAACCCCCACACATGTTTTATTTACTTATCTTTCAAAAAGCCCTTGAGAGAGCCATCTTGAGGGCCAGCTGATTATCTGGAATCTCAGCCCCTGCACACAATCTTGCAGCAGACACTAGAGTTCATAAGCTTTTCAAAGAGCCACCCCCCCCACTCAGTGAAAAGCATCCACCACTCCCTAGCATCTGAAACCATCTTTGAATTGCTCTGTATGAAAGCCTGTCTACAAACAAATTCCATCCCAACCGCTGCTTTGGGGTCACTCTGCCCATTGTTTCCTGGTAAAATTCTTTGATCTCAGATCTACCACTACATAGAGATAAAGTAGATGTATGCACACACACATGCCTAGTAGATTTTAGTAAGTGTAAAGTAGTACGAAATAAGAAATGAAGACGGGACTCAATTTGGATTTCAAGAATCAGTGTCTGGCAGGATGACCTTGAAACAGGCTGTAGTGGAAATATGTAGAGAAGCATCCAGCAGGACAGTTTTTAAAGATCAATATCTCATTCAGAAACCTTTTCTCCACATCTCCAAAGAAGTGACAAAAGGAAAAAACTAGAACTTCATTAAGAGTCAATGAGTCTTGCCAATTATACTAATACAATGATGTCATGGCCAGCATCTCATTTTGCCTAGAGGATTGTCCTCTGTACATCACAGGATGGGTCAGAATCATGTAGTTAGCATCGTGCCAGCTGGGTTTTTTTTTCAGGAGGGATCTATGACTCACTAACTTTTTCTATAGCAATCTAGCACATCCATTTGTAAATTTTATTTATTCAGTTCGTATCAGATGTGCTCTAGGTAGTAGGAAATCAAATATCATGAGGAGAAATACTGAATCCACTAGTTTATTCTTCTAGTAAAACATATTCAGGGAAAAGATAGAATTACTTATATTTGTGTATTTTACTGTTTATAATTTCACCAAAAATTACAAATTGCAGAGTATCTGCTTAGATCCTAAGAGAGCATCCCACTACTTACAAAATAAATAGTAAACTATTTTTTTTAATTCAGGAAGATAAGTTCTTGTTGTTCCCCAGATGGTAATTCACGAGGGGCTCATAAGCTTAAGACAGAAGCAAGACTGGAAGTGAAAATATGCAATATTTAGAATTAGTTATTCGTGCAACATTTTGAAAATAAATCTATGAAATATTAAAGTTGAATATTTATTTTCCTTCAACAATCATGGAATTGATAGAAGAAATAAAGATGTTGTTCCTCCTCTTAGGAACTTAGGAGAGCCATCACTGACAACGAAGAGGGATCCATTTTACTCATTTACTGTATTGAAGAAGCATTTTGTGAATTGAAATTAGGGAGCTGTGCCAGGTGTGAAGTCCTGTATACAGCTAACTAGGGTAAAAAAATAATAATTTATAGAAGAATTGGAATCCCTTCAGTTTCATTGGAATTAAACTTCATACTCCCAATTTTTAGGGTTTTCCAGATTAGGCTGTATTAGAAACACACACACACACACACACACACACACACACACACACACACATGTCTTGTAGCTCTATTCCCCAAAAGTGTTTGATAAGCCACACACATATGTGACCTCAGCATTGAATTACCTGGAGGAGTAGGAGATGGGACGTGTGTGACATATGGGTTATGTTGGAACCGGGGTGGGTTGTCATTAACATCAGTGATGGTCACAAGCACACTTGTAGAGCTGGAAAGAGACTCTGGAGACCCAGCATCACTGGCAACCACAACCAAAGTGTAATTATCTTTGGTTTCTCTGTCCAGCAAAGCACTAGTGATGATCTGTCCCGTGGATGGGTTGATGGTGAACTGTGAGTTTCCACCGATGATACTGTAACTGAGGCAGAGAGTAAAGAGGGGAAGATCACCTTTAACTATGATTTCATGACACCCTGCTTTCCATAAATAAATTTTTAAAAGCAAATGGAAATATAGATACTTAACAAAAAAATTTGAACACACAGCAATGAAGAAACCCAGGTATTAAATTGTGACTTGAGATGCTCTATAGCTGTCACATGAACAATCATTCTAAAATGTTCACAAGAGCTCTGCAAGAGCCTTAGGAGTCTCCACACTCTCAGGTTAATGCAAGGCCACAAAGTAAGTCTAGAGCACAGCTGCCATGCAGAGAAATGAGCTAGAAATTGCAAACTTAGAGCCCTTTCCTAACACTGAAATTAATTAATGGGCAGAATTACTAGTGGACACTTTTAAAACATCTTTAAAAGTATCTCTTTCCTCTTCTCTATCTATAATAAAGAGAGGGAGGGAGGGAGGGACGAAG